TTGCTTCCAGTAATTTGGAGAATCAAATAAATTGGTCTGGATTACTGTGTTAATATTTATAGATTGCCTAACTCTTCATTTCGAGCCCACAGTAAGGCAATATTGCAAAGATAAATATTTACAGTTAAAGCATTATTAACTTAGGCAATGCTCCAGGGCACCCAAAATCTCTGCAGAATTTATACTCGGAAATCAATGTTGCACTTCTTCCTCCCAATGCTGTCTATCTCATACAATCTCTCGATTAAACACTGATAATTATGTTTTAAACTATACTGCATATGAGAAAAATTCTGAATAAAAGCCATCAAGGTAACAGGCAGGGAAGAAGGGTCAACATTAAGAGATTATTGGAATAACAGTAATATATGGAACGCAATAAACAGCACTGGAGGCTCGTGGGGCTAAAATAAAAGAGTCAACAATGAAAGTTCCTAAAAACGATTGTGCCCACAAATCATGAATAATTTTATAAATTTTGAAACTGCCACAATTGAAAGAATTAGTCCTATCAATAATGAAGACGTTAATGAAGTGACTTGATTTCACACAGAACGTCTATCAAATAAATACTTTATTGAGTAACAAGACTTAAATGAAATACAAAGTGAAAGTGAGGAAGAAGTAGATAAAATCGTCAAGATTTCGACAATCAAAGATATGAATGAAGCCTTCGTGCATCTTGAAAATTTTTTGACTACCATGGAAGAATGTGGTCAGAATAGAGAAAGCATTGTATCATGTACGTAGGGTGATTGAGAAAAACAACATGCTACACTTTATCAAGAAAACACTTTATCAAGAAAAGAAAAAAGGTGGTGTTCAGCTAACTCTTGATAAGTTTACAAAGAAAACCACCGAAAGCGCTTAAGCAAGTCTCGTTAACTTAATTATATACATTGATAAGCAAATATTTTAAAATACGACTTTTTTACCCCCCATCCTTCTATTTCGAGCATTCGACATTCGCCCATATTTACTGGAACCAAACATGTGGCGAAAGTCTGTAACCTTATTTTTACTTCAGACAAAAGCAGAAAATAGTTGTCTGATGTTGAAGGAATACTGTATGCAGTCCCAGGCTATTAGCTAATCGGGCTGTGATGACAGGCCTAACATTTTAAAAATAAATTATCTAAAAATTCAAAGTACAGAACTTAAAAATCATATATTTTAGAATGAATTGTCCAAAATAAAGATGTAAAACGGGCGAAGTAATTTTCTGTGACACTGATATTATTCTAACACAAATTTTAACGCCACAAGGACGTTTTGGAATTCTGATATCTTGAAGATGTAACTGCGCATTTCATTTCGACTAAATCGCTTGTTCGGAAGGCAGTAGTAAAGATTTCTCATAAACCGGTCATTATTTCTAAAATTAAAAGTGTCTGAATTTTATAAAAAGCTGTCAAGACAGTAAAAAATGCAGTAAATAAGATAATAAAAACTTGCAGGCTGAAGATTTCAGGTTACAGTCTGGCGCTTCTAAAGCTGTAGTTAAATAAATAAATAATAAAGGAAGAAAAAGAAAGAAAGAAATCTAAAAGGGTTCAGATTTTAACCATCGCTCAAAAGAATTTATTAAAGTTTTTTACGCAGAGCTCGCAGTCTACCAGTCTGCTATTGCACTTACTCCTATTAACCCTTTCGCCGTACTCTCCTGTCCGCAAGCCAGTTTCCCTTAGAAAGTCCTCCACGAAGGCATCCCTCCCCTTAAGCAGATAGCCCTAGTATGCTTTGCCATAATTAAATACACCATACTCCTGTCCGCAAAAATTTCTCCCCCCCCCCAGCGGCCGTCTGTTTTTTCGTAGCGTGTAATGTTGTTTTCTCTGTACATCATAACTTTCCATACATGACTTTCGTAGTGGATGAATGTCAATGAATATTAAGTAAAATTATAAGGAAATAAAGCATAATAGAAAAATAATATCTCTGCTTATTTCTAACAGCAGAATAATTTGATAACATCTGATCAAGGCGGTCCACTCCTCCCATTTTGCTGTTGTAATCTTTTACAATTATTGGTTTTTTACAGTCCTTTTCCGTGTTCCAACATCAATCATCGAGTTATTATGGACTGTACTCATAAAACGTATATCCTTCTTTTCTTTCAGATTCACAACCTCATTTTTTCTCTTTTTCTGCTGAGTAGACGTTAAAGCTATCTCTCACTATCTTATAGTATCTTATGTAAAAAAATGGCGCTAATATTACATAAAAACCCGGGGCGAATTCAATTAGAAATAGAATGCCTGATTAGTGCTACCCTCTAGGAGGTATTAGAACAAACAAAAATAAAAACTCAAACAAGTAAACATTTAGAAAGCGTTTTAAACGTTTCAAAGTTTTAAAATGTAGAAGAACGCTTGAGGTGCGTTACGGCCGCCCTACGGAAGTTTCACTTGAACGCGCTAGACGCGTTACAAACGACGAAGAGGTTAATAAATTTCTTTTTGTATTTTCAGCTTTATTATTAAACTAAAAATAAGCTTTATTATTATTTCTTTGCACTTACGGCATATAAATTCAACAGCAAAATTACAGATAATTTTAATAGCAGCATATGTTTAGAATTTCCGATGCAACGTGTTAAGTGTTGACATAATATTTGTCAACTTTTTCAGTCTTTTCTCAGTTTCTTATATCAATGTTCAGTTTTCTTAGTAAGATGTCTTGAAAAACTTTTTTTTTGTCTATTTATTATTAACATTTTGTGTGTTAAATTTATTAATTAAATATCTAAGCCACATAAAATTGAATTCTACAAGAAAAGCACAATTTAAAAACAGATATGTTTGAGCCTTGCGTGCTGGAGTTAAAACTAGTTTGTGTTGCCATTGCTCCCTTTCAGGTCGTTGAATTTATTAATAAAAAAAATTATTAAAATTTTACAAAGTATGAAATGTAAAATTCGAAATTCAAAATTTGGGCTTCCAGGTGCTCATGTCCGGGTAAAGGACTGCGTTAGTCAAAATTTGATGGCTCTAGATATCGTTGTTTTTTCACAATGCGAGGAACATACGTACATGCATGCAGCTTCTTCATCATTTAATTTCTTTAAAAATATTACAGGGCGATAATATTTGGAAGCAACAATTTGAAAAGTCATACAACCGCTTACAGTGGATGACCCCAAATCCCGTTTCAAGATTAAGAGCCCTTTCGGACTAACGACCTTTTTTGGCTAAAAAGAGTTAAACTTATTAGCTGGAAAAGAAAGTGTTTCTTCTCTTGGTATGCAGATTTTAGTTTAACAGCGAAATCCTTTCAAGGTAAGCAATTACTGGCCTACTTATTGAATAATTAGTCTTCCGAGAAGTTAAAGATGTAGAATATAAAATATTACATTTTAAAATGGGTTGTTCAAATTGGCAAAAATAAATTGTAGAAAAAAAATCCTATGATATTATTCCATCGTAAATTTATTCCACTTATGCTCTTTATTATTAAATAATGAAGAATCTGTATTCATGTATGTGTGTTCCTTTGTAAAGTAATTAATGATAACGAGGATGTATTTGTTGCCATGAGCAGCTCTTGGCAGAGGTCCAGGCGATGCATTTGAAAGGCGCTTGTGTATTATAACGTTGCAGCTTTTCTCGGTTACGTTTCTTCATTCCTTTCCGGCGAAGGCAAGCATCGAAGTTTGGCACCACTTTTGCACATGATCTCTCTCCAGCAAAAGCGCTCTCGAGCTCTATGTAAAGTCTTCATTATTCCGAAGTAGCTTCCTTTCTTACTGCTTTATAGTTTTTTAAGAACGTCTGAGATCCAAGACCTTGAAAGTATCTGCTCCCATCGGAATGCCTTTCCGTCATTCGATTCGAAATTCCGGTACAAGACGTCGTTTCGAATACGTAGGGAGATCCAGAGAGCGCATTATTGTTTTGTTGTAGGATTATAGATCAAAATGTCTTGCCAGATAGGCTTTTTATTTAGACTTTTCAAGTGAATTAAAAGGCTTTAATGTAGTCGTCTTACAACTGGTCTTTCCTGACTCCATCACTCCACAGGTGTTTCTTTTTTCCACTTTTTTCTTGGTGAAGTACGTGAGTAGAAGGAGTTGAAAAGACAAAATCCAAAATAAATTGCAAATTATGGCAAATTGCAAAATTGCAAATTATTTCGTATATTTGAATATGAAAGTGGTACGCAGTAAAACTCATGTTTCGAAATATAGTGGAATGATGTTTTGTGAATGATAATATATGGCAGCCATGAAGCCATGAAAGTCTCACTGATTTCATTTAATTTGATTTCATAAATATATTAATATGAAAAAGTGACAACACAGAAGGCTTCCCTACCATACAAAAACTGAATCGTTGCCACAAAATATTAGAGCCCTGTATTATATTTAAAGAAATTAAATAATGAGGAATCTGTATAAATACACTGCTAGCCATTAAAATTGTAACACTGAAGGAAAGCAAATACAAAAAAGATATTTATTACACGTAAACAGTATGGCATGAAGACAAAATGATTACATTTTTAAGCATTTTGGAAGTTTACAGAGGTGAGGTACGAAATTAATAAAAAAAGCTGCCACCCCTGGCAGCTAAAACAGCCCTTTCCCCGTTAAGCATGGAGTAAAACTGGACTTGGATGACTGAAATGGGCAAATCTCCCATGCCGTTTCAAGTTTATGACACACTTTATCAACTGTATTAGCTAGAGAGGGATGGCGGGCCAGTCTCTCAGCAACCTATGATCAGATGGTTTCAACAGGTGATTGAGCTGGTGACCGTGCAGGTCAGGGAAGCAGTTGAATACCCTGTGTATCGAGGAAGGTCTGAACACGACTTGCAACATGTGGTCTTGTATTATCTTGTTGGAATATGGAGTTTGGGGGTCTCGAAGACAGAACGCAACCTCTGGACGTAAGATGTCAGAAATGTACCTATATGCGTTCAAATTACCGTTGATCCGAACTAGAGATGTGCGTGTCGTGTACACAATGGCTGCCTAAAATAAATTATGTTACGCGGAGAAAAAAAAAAAAAAAAAAAAAAAAAAAAAAAAAAAAAAAAAAAAAAGAGATTACTACTCGTATAACGGTAATATTATTTCAGCTCATGGTGAACTATAAATAAGAAAGCATACAGAAGCATTCAAATGTTAATTTTTGTTGAAATGTTTCTTGTGGGCTATTAGAATGAAAGGATCTTCTTGCTTAGCTGAAACGATCAATAATAAATGAAATAAAAGATGATAATACACAAACATAGTAGGTCAACTGGGTTAGCAAGATAAAAAAATATTTACATATAGTAGTTGTACTTATTGTAGAAGCAGTAGTTGCAGTCTATTTTAACAACAGGTAAAACGTCCAGTATATAACAGCAAAAGTTGTAAATGCCAACGGGAACAATTTTCGGCATAAGTTGTCCAAAGTACGTTCTTTGACTTTCATTTTGTTATTCTGTAAGCGATGTTCGATTTCCTTGAGCGGTTTACGAAACAGGAGGCGACTGGATAATTCTGTACTCGAAGTTCTTATCCCATTCAGATTTTCTCCAACTTTCACCATAGGTATATCTGACCGCTGAGGGCATACAAATGTGTGCTGTAAGGAAACATTTTTTATTAATATATATTCGCAATTTAATTACTTTCGCTGAAAATATTTCTAATTATATTTTCCATTTATACAATATGTAAAATAAACATGACGTTACTCTAAAATTGTGCAATGTTATTTGGGAAAGCAATTTCTCAGCATGAAATTGCACTGAAAGAGTAATTATGCACATGACATACACTATAAGAAAAAATAACCACATAATAGATGTTAGAAATGTTCACCATCTGCCCATTTCCGATCTCAAAATGTTTCTTCATGCTTGTTTCAATTTTTCAAGCGATTGCTGAGAAGATATTGAAGTCAAATTCCTCTCCATATTCTGCCTCAGTATACTGCATGTTCAAAGATCGTTCTTGTGCACCTTTTTTTGAAGTAATCACAGAAATAAAAGTCCGGTGGTGGGGAAGATAATTCGCATTATATGGACTGCCACAATCCTCAAAAAACGGTACCAAAGATTTCATAGGACAGAAGCATAGTTCCATTTATTGTGTGCACTGTTGCACCATCATTCTGCCGCCCAACGTATAATAACAATGAGATATGCTGAATAATGTCTTGACAACAATTTGCTTCCAAAGATTTTTCACGTAATCGCGAGAAAGGTCTAAATGTTTATGATCATCATCACGACAAGAATTTCGAATAAAGAAGACGAAATAAAAACTGATAACTTATTTTGTATATTTAGGAACATGATCTTAAACTTCATTTTGCAATTAAAGAAATAATATTTTTTGAGGTTACGTTTTATGACAGTTGTTTGATCCCGATCCAAAGGTTACTAATGGTATGCGTGTACTGATATTGATGCAAACAGTCTTTCATTGCGGATTGCGTAACTCTAAAAACAGTTTATCACAAAAAAAAAAAAAAAAAAAAAAAAGCTACGTCCCCCAATTTTTAAATCTGTAGACCTTTTCAATGTGTACAATACTTAGTACATTATTTTGATAAATCTCGTAGGGTTCAGCCTGCGTTTGCAATGTAAGCGGAAAAAATGTAATTATTTACGACATCACATTAGAAACCTAAAAAATAACAGTATTTCTCCACTATTTAATGGATGTTATTATACATATAAACCTTCTTCTTCAATCACTCTATCTATTAAAAAAACCACATCAAAATCCGTTGCGTAGTTTTAAAGATTTAACATACATAGGGATATAAGGACAGAGAAAGCGACTTTGTTTTATACTATGTAGTGATGATTAAATTACTAATTATTAAAAATTAAATTATTAAAAATTAAATTATTAAAAATTAAGCAAATCTTAAACACTTATTTCCTCGAAAAAATTCCAGAAAGGATTAAGCATGATTTAAATCGCAATAATAAATGTAGGCGTTTATCTTTGTTGTTGCGAAGTTTCGTTTATCTATATTGGCAACAAATTCACTACTCAGCTGTTTCAAATGTAAACAATCAATGGCCGCCATCAAAATAGGCTTAGCGGCACTTCAACAACTTTTAAATTGTTGATAATTCTAAAAATATTCCATACAGATTTACTAAAGGCATAAAACCCTTAACCGGAAGATAAAAACAACATAATTCAATCATTTTTAAAGAAAAAAATGTACAATTTACAAACATATAAGAGTAAAGAAACTGAGATCACTAAGCCGGGTAACAGAGTGGATATACTTATAAATATATTTATATTGTACGTTTGGCGCAGCCGATTGAAACCAAAATACGAGGTGCACATCTACATGTATTAGCAGTCCTATATACAAAATTTCAACGTTCTGAGGCTACTCGTTTTTGAGTTATGCGAGATACGTACGTACGTTCGTACGCACGTACATACATACGTTCGTACAGACGCCACAAAAAATTCTCTTCGGAATTCATTTTAAAGCAGTTTCTTTGGAGGAAAAGAGTCTTTTATTCCGTCCTTACGTACAGATATCACGCAAAAACATCGTTAAATTGCATTCGAAAGCGGTCAAAGAGGATATTTGTGTCCTGGTTTCAAACAGGCGAAATAAGCTCCCCTTTTCTTCAATGTTTCCCTTTTCGTCTCCAGTGATATCTCGGCAGCCTTAAAGCATTCTGAGGTATTATGAAACTACTTATTACAAAATAAACAATGTTTGCCATTTTTATCAGCTCTTTGCTTTTCATTAGATACAATACAAGCTGCATTGAAAATTTTTTCTTTCGTTTTAAATTTTTCATATTGATCATTCGCAAACCCTGATCTAGCAAGTTGTAACCGCTCTTCGCTTTCGACTTCCAAACGAAGAAATTCTAATAAATTTTCTAACATGTTCATCTTGTCTTTATTTTCTACACGGTTATGTGTGCGTTTCCACTCCTTGATAAGAACTTCTGGTAGAACTGATTCTACTAAAGGATATAACATTTCTTCCTATTTTTCAGACGTTACCCCTAAAGTGTCTAATGCTCGCATCTGAGTCTCCAATTTATCATACAGGACCCGCAAAGTAAAATTTTCACCGCTTTTCTCTTGTGTTAAAACTATATTTAAAAGTTTAAAAAACATAAATTTGAATAAATGAATCTTTAGCAAAACGAGATTTCAGTTGTTCAATAGCATTATAATAATTTTCGCCAAATGGTGGAAAACTTGCAACTAAATCTCTGGCCGATGAACCTTCTTCAGTTGCTTGTAAAAGATACTGAAATTTGTCATCTGCATCAATGCTATCATCATCAGGAATTTTTTTAAATTGTCCCCAGAATCCTAGCCAGTTTTTAATATTACCATCAAAACGTTTAAATTCTAACTTAGGAAGACGGAAATTTCGCTTAATTTCATTTACTACACTGGAAATATCGTCCTTTCTTTTCTTTCTTGATAACATTAAATCAACTTTCGTTTTGATAGCAAACCACTGATTTAGATAGCTTTCCGTTAAATTCACATCCTTAGAAAATTCATCTTCATTAAAATTTTCCATTTTTAGCCACGTTACTTTAACTCTTTCATCTAACTGAAATAATCTGTCAGCTTTATCATTAAAAATATTAAATACAAATATCAAATCAATCTTACTTACTGCTTCATCTTTTAGAACAGTTTCCACTTCTTTCAAAGAAGTTGTGAAATATCGCCGTAATTGTGTTCTTTCCCGTTTTAAATTATCTACAGTCCTGCTGCACGGACGCCAGTATTTTAAAGGATTCGAAAATAACTATGGATTTAATATGAAAAAACACTTTAATTGTAGATATTTGCAAAATTTAGAAGCAGTTATTCTTACAAACAACGATAAAGCTTAATTTTAAAACATAATACTTATACAGAGTTGAGTTGTAGCTGGCATTACTCAAACACATTATGATACCGTTCTGTAGAGCTAAAGTCATAAGGCATAAACGCAGAGGACGTTGTAAGAAAGCCAAGCTCGAACTTAAGTTACGTATTGAAGCATATTCATCTCGTTTTCAACTAGACCGGAAACCTAGTATTATTCGGCTAGATTCCTGAACCTCGAATGAGTCGCCTTCACTGGATCACAGTTGAGTTGTAGGCGAAACCATCGGGGAGAAAAGTGCAAAGTGAGAACATCTTACACAAAACATCATGGGAGAATAGAACACAGAGAGACAAGCAATCTGATATTTAAATGCAATCTTTTAAAGTCCGAAAAACATATTTCTGCGGTGTCATCGCCATGCGATGATTTGTAGATGCTTTATTTTTTACCACGACATTTTCTATGACTACGTTTTTAAAACTGAGATGATTTTGAATCGCTTTATTTTCGATGACGATGCTTTAGAACTGCTATTACTTTCTACTTGCTTTCTTTTCTCCCACGATGTTTTGTACGATAATATTTTCGCCTTGCCTTGTTTTCTTCGTGACGTTTCCATCTGCGATGTTTCGGCAAACAGCTTGCAATTGATCTACGGAAATTGTGAGACATTTAACCAACTGCGAAATTCTGAAATTTTACACAATTTTCTTTTATTAAAGAAAAAACTTTGTTTACCTGTTTATATGCGAAATATGTCTGGTAGGCAAAAGCATATTCCAGAAGAGATCCGAAGACTGTAATGAGACAAGCAAACAGCCATATATCCATGGCAGTCATGTAGCTAATAGGCGGCAGTCCGTTATGTGCTTGGACTACTTGCGTTGCAAGAGTAAGAAGTGACGTCACTCCTAGGGTTATTCTGGCTGGCACAGCTGCAACATCCAACCAGAAAGATATCCAAGACAGAAAAACCACCAGCATGCTAGGAACATAAACATTGAGCAAACTTCCTGAAATTCTCCTTACAAACGTAAAGTTAGCATACAGATATGTGAAGTTACCTGAAAAGAGAAATGAAATCGAAATTTTATATGGTATAGACTCTTACGAATTAGTCTACTGGATGTATACTTGCAAAAATGACGGAAGTAAAAATGGCGATCTTAGTAAAATTGTGAGTATAATTTAAGACGATCGCAGCTGGACACAGAAGAGCAAATGACGAGGCAAAGTGAAGATGAACAATTTAATAAGTGGAGGCTCTTGAATTCAAGTATCAGGTTTCACTAAAAATGACAGTACTAATACTCGTAATATGCATAGCTTTTTAAAGGACACTGTTAATTACTGATCAGCTTAAAAACTTAAAAATACTAATGTAAGGAAGGCTGACGACAGCCAAACAGCCGCACGGTTAAACCAATTTAGAATTCAAGAGACTCCACTTATTGTATTATTTACCTTCGATTATCTTTGTCTCTTCACTTCTCCTTCTGTGTCTCAGTATGTATGCACTCTCTAAATTTTAATAAATTCTCTTACTTAGAGACTTACAAAGGTAACATATATGTTTAAAAAAATCAGAAATTTTCCCTTTTACAAAGCTAAGAATTAACACTCTTCCCAGAATGTGTGTGATGAGAAAGTAAAACAAATGAAGCTGATCTGAAAGTAAAATGAAAAGAAAAAAAAAAAAAAAAAAAGAAATGAACGGACAAAAGTTTCAAATGGACATAATAAGTTATTAGTATTTAACTCTAATCTGATAACTTAAATTGGATAATTTTAAGTTATCAGATTTTAGGGTTCTATTTAGTCTTACTAACAGTTATTTTGATTTGTAAACCTTTCCTGAATTCTCTTATTTTCCCTCGCATTTCCTCGCGAGGATGGAAATGAAGTTAGTATATCATTGGTCTAGGTTTCTGAGTCAGCCTGTTAGATTAGATTGAATTCTGTAGTCTAGTACTACATTTTTACCTTTTGAATGCATTGTTACAGTATCATTGAAGTTCTCACCGGCAAGTGGTCGGCGTTATTATGTATGCACGTAAATCCGTGAATTCGTTAAACAGTTTGTGATACATAACAGGTCTTTTACAACTTTTCCCTCTTACGTTCAACTTCACGCCGCGCATTCGCAAGGTACAAACCTTAAGTAGATCCAGTTGCCATTTTATGATTGTAAAACATAATAGATCTCACAATGTGAGATTGCTAGTAAGCCCAGAAGTAGTCTTTTGGGTTTAAGAACGAAGGCGAGAAAGCTCTTAATACTTTTGATTTTCCTCATATTTCGAAACTATCAAACGAAAGTTTAAAAACAGTATGGAAACCAAATCACAGAGTTAAGGCTTTTAATATTAACTCGTGTAATTTTTTTTGACTTATTAATTGATTGTTATAAATGAATGCAAACATTACTTTTACAAATCCAAAGGCTGAATTTGCTATTAGAGCTTAAGTAACAAAAACTAAAAAATGAGAGAAAAAAAAAAAGCTTAGAAGAATCCATCACTCATTCTAAGAACCTTCTTAGAATGATGTTCTGTTATACAAGCTATCATATGGCCTATCAGCATTTTGGCTGAAATGAATGATGATCTATGAGCTAGCTTAATTATGCCGATTCATAGGCTGATTTTGCTGTTAGAGCTTAAATAACAAAAATTACAAAACAAACAAACTGGGGGGGGGAAAGCTTAGAAGAATCCATCATTCTAAGAATATCGTTCTCAGAATCCTCTTAGAATGATGATCTGTTATACAAGCTATCATATGGCCTATCAGTATTTTGGCTGAAATGAATGAAGGTTTATGAGATATAGCTTAATTATAGCTATTAATATTTTAGCTGAAAGCTGTGAAAAATCTACATTCAAAAACTGACTTAAAAAAGGAAATTAGAAAAAAAAGGAAGTGCGATTATTTTGATTAAACAAACGTGTTTTAACCTGCAATCCATTCTTCCTTCGTTTTGTATGATGTTGGCGGCAACAGCTCGTATTTTAGAGGTTGAATATTATTCGTGAGCAGTATGCTTTGTCCACTTTTTCTGTGCAGTTCCTCTTTTTCTTCAGACCAATGTAGTTCCACTATATGATCAGGATTTGACACTGAAAGAAGGCATACAAAATTAGATACACGTTAGATGCAACAATAAATCTGTTTAACCATTCCGAGCAACATAATGTGCAGCATAGTTTCTTTTAATTATCAATAAAGTGCGCCATAAATCTGTTTAACCATTCCGAGCAACATAATGTTCAATACAGTTTCTTTTAATTATCAGTAAACTATCATGACCAATTCCGAACAGTATAATGTTCTTTACAGTTTCTTTTAATTATCAAGAAAGTGCCATGGTATCAATAAAATGCTCCCCCCCCATAAATCTATTTAACCATTCCGAGCTTCATAATGTTCAGTACAGTTTCTTTTAATTATCAATAAAATATTATGACCATTCCGAACATTATAATGTTCAGTACAGTTTCTTTTAATTATCAATAAAGTGCCATGGTACAAGGTATGGCTCTGAACTTCACCCCTCTTTTATTAATCTGGGTAATCTCTTACTGTTTCAGGCGAATTTACATTCGATGTTTATACGTCTAGCATTCTAGTAGTTCCACAAATTAAAGATGACTCAATAAATACAAAGCTAAAAAAATAACTGAAACAATTATAGATAACTACCAGTAGTACTATAGTAATTACTTGTTATACAACTGAAAATAGAGACAACAAAAATGTTTCTGAAACTTTCATGAGTACATATAACTGGGTCGAATATAGTAGTCACTCATCTCAAGGTAATAACAAATTTCTGATTCTTAATCTTTGAAAGTACAAAGTTTAACAAATACTTTTCCAAAGGGTGTATTTACCTACTCTAAATTTTATTTTCAAACCAAATAACCGGTTACAGAGCAATTAAAATGTTCCTCAAAAACGTCATCTTAGTCAAAAGCTAAATGCTACTGTAAATAAAATTTTAATCTCATTACGTTTTTCTTTTATTCTCATTTAATTAGTATATCTTTGGAGCGATAAATGTGATACCGAAAATTCTGAAGAAGAAAAACCGAATAAAATAAATTCATTAGTTCAGTGTAAAGCATTAAAAATGAAGGAATGTTATAATAAAATAGAATTAGAATTATTTCTATTAAATAACACTCATAGATTTGTCACATTTTTTTCCTCGTCTTATTGCCTGTGGTCTTCTTAGAAGATCACTGGGTGGTCAAGAAGAAGAAAGTGTCAAAATAATCGAAAGAGGGTTGAACGGTTTTCTAAAAAAACTATAAAATAGTGGAAGACGCTTACGGAAGTGACCAACTTATTAGTGTTACTCAGCTGAAATTTTATTTTTAATTTCTTCCAGCATTCTACTTAATAGTCTAATAAAATATTGAAATTTTATTTTTCTTAAACAATTGTAATTATGTGGAGATATCTAAAACTGGTTCATTTCTAAGGAAAGTATTCTACAGAAGATTTAAAAAAATTCTTTAGAAAATTCAATTTTTCTTGGCATTAGTCGTCATGTCTTAGTTTCTAATAAGTTTAAAGGAGTCTTATCGAAAGGGATTCAATTTTGTTTCTCATCTGTTTCATTCCTTATCTTTTTAAAATTGTGATTTATGTTAACGTCTTAATTACCTTTAAAAGCGTTACATTTGAGTTAGCTTAGTTGCAACCACCTAAAGTAAATTCAGTCATTAGAATGCAATTATACTAAGGAGCAGTAGCAGAGCATATCTATCTTATTTTGTATGTATCGAATTAAATTATACTTGATGTAAGTAATTAGGACATAAGTTTTGTTTGCTGTCAGTCAGATCTGAAACTACTTTGTGTAATATCAGGTTAAATAATTTATAAAATATAAAGACATACAAACTTGCGAAGTAATAAATCTCTACGACAGGCCAAATGTACTATTTACAAAAAATGTTAAGCATTTAAATAAAAAAGAATCGGAAATCTTCAACTGAAACATATCCACAAAAATGATCCGACTGAGTAAAGAATCAACGCTGATAATAAATTGAACATTGATATAAATGAATACCTACAAATCTCAAATGAGTATTTCCAAAATAAATAATATTCTTGTTTGCTATTCATAAAACTCCATTGTTCATGACACTTGAAAAAAATTATCTTTCTTCAATGAAAAATGCAATGTTGGTCATCTGCGCAACATCTGATTAATTTTCAAAAAATATCTGATGTGCAAACAACATAAGTTCCTTGTGAAATCATACACACTTTTTGCTGCAATTCACTTAAACTTATTTCCCCGTATTTCATTAGAGATATACTTCTCATTCAATCAATTCAGCTCTCATTTCGCGGTAAGACAAAAATGTATAAAAACTCAAAATATCTTCATTAAACAGTGTTGCGAAACGCCCAGATGGGGTGAGATAGCTTCCTCATAGAGCAGGGTTAGGGTTGCCACATTTGGCGCGAAATCGCCCATTTGGCCCTATTTGGCGACAAAATTAGCGATATGCCATAGACCGAGCAAGATCATTCTAAAACTCTCTCTCTCTCTCTCTCTCTCTATATATATATATATATGTTTTGCCTGTACGCGAAGTAGGAGTATTTTGAATTCAGTTAGTGTCTTCAGTTCGGAGATCAGCTTGAAAGCGATCGCGTGAGTCGGGAGCAGTACTTTAGTGCTTTGCCGTGAAGTTGTCTTCACCGTTATAGCCTGAAGGCTGTGTAGCTGATTCTTTCAGCGTGTTTGTCGTAGTTTTTCGACGACCGCAAACGTGTCTTTGGAAGTTCTGTGTACTATTGGCGAATAAATTGTGCTTTGATTCTTCAAGTGTTATCATCAGTTACTCCGAATCTCGTAGACTCGTAGAACGTTCCAATATTATTCACAATGTATTTCACAATCAATATTGTGAAATACAGAGAAACCTAAACACCAAATACGGTTAAAAACAGTTAACAAAACATTTTTACAATTAAAATTAAAGTTTCGACCAGAAATTTTAAGATACAGCTCAAGTTTAGTTTCAGAATAGAAAAAAAAAACAAGAGTGTCGATCGTCATAAAACACTCTGAAAAAATTTATTATAGTTGCTTTATATATAATTTTCTGCAGATTTCAATACATAATGCTCGTTTTCTTATACCCTTTTGAAATATCAAGTAAACAAAAACTCCGTCTATTGCTCATAAAAAGCAGTGAACTCATAACAAGTTCGAAAGTACAAAATAAACGCTTACAAAAATTTAATTAAGGAGTTATTTTCTGACTTTTTTTCTTTATTTACGGTTAATTGTAGTTCAAACATGAATACTTACAAAACGCAATTTTGAGAAAACAATGCTGAGTATCCATTGGATAATGGTGAAAATTCATCTGACAACTGATTACAAGACTGAATCTGGAATGGAAAAGAATGCTTATATTGTTACAGTTGAAGCAAAAACCTGTTTCATGAAATAACAAGTTTTATGAATGTCAGCATGCTTAGCCTACTGTTATAAGGAACTGTGTACTAAACAGATATTGTGGATGTTAAAGTTTGCTGCACTCTACAGAAACACACTTAAAGTGTGTTTCTGTAGAGGATTCCCAATGAAATTTCTCTAGAATCTTAGAATATCAAGAAATCCTAGGCATCTTGAGAAAATGCTAGCGGTTCTGCAAGCTTGTGACTGAAAACTGAGGCAGCTCTGCAGTGAGGAACTAAGGGAAAATTAAACTAATTTTTAGTTTAAGTTATTTAGGGACAAAGAAAGTGCTACTTTATCCACATTATGTTTACTTACTTTGCATAGTTTATTTAACACTTCCTTGTTAAAACGGCTTGTGCATAGGTTTTTTTGTGACATTATAAATATCTACGTTATAGATATTGGGCAATTAAGTTTGCCAATTTCGACGCGACAGGAGCTCTAAAACTCTTTTAATTGTAATGTATTATATGAATGTGCTGCAACTCTCCTGGCCAATAATAATCGGCCTCATGGTTAACCCAACACACCCAAGACAGATTAAAACAAAAATGAAGTCAAAAACATGAAACCAAAATTCCCAGTATTATTCTGTTGCCATATATAAAGTTAATCAAATCCTTTGCAAGTCTAAGCTCTTTCCTTCGGAAATAGAATTCCTTTATGCTTCCATGTTTTTTCCTAACTTATCGCAATAATACGAATGACGAAATGTCGTACATTGCCTTCAGCACTACAAAAACTACAAAGACTATTATTTTGCAAATTAAATCTTATCAGGTACGTCGGGCAAAACTCTTTAAATATCCTATTGTCCAAAGTACTGATTTAGAAGTTTAATTTTAGACGTTATTTTTGTTGTTTTTCTTTTCTTGTCAATGTTTTTAATCTCTACGTTTAAATGTTGACTGATGTAGGAAATACCCTGCACATTAACTTCAGAGCACAATGAATAACATCTTCAAAGAAAAACTTTTAAATTTATGTAATTTTAGTGACTTTAAGTATAAATTAAGAAATAAATTTTAAAATTATCTTAGCCATATGTTTCTAAAATAAATTTGTGAGGAGCCTAAAATATTGTATGAGGATATTACCATAAATCTTTAAAGAAGAACAGAAGTGATAATACATAAAATGACGTATATAAGAACGTGCATTCAACTCATTTAAACTTTTCTGGTAATTTCGGTTTAAAACTGATCATTGTTAATAAGATTCTCAGCCCCACTATTTTAATTTTAGTTGCATATAACCAATCTGTAAAACATTTATTTAAACATTTCATTACATTTTACTATAACGGTGTGCATCATTAAAATTCGTTTGCATATATATTTTATTTCACAGATATGTTTGCATTTTTAGTTTTTAACCACCTCCATGCTATTCAATTATCAGCACATTCGACAGCACATCTTGATGTTGAGCAGAAAACAACAAAGATTTAAACTGTATTTACTAAGCCCTTTCTATAGGGACACATATTGGGGAGGGGGAGGCAAGCAATAATAAAATAAAAAATGAAGGGAACTGGGGGTTAAATTCAATTTGATTTCTGCTTATGTAAAAATTCATAGGTTTAGGATCCAGGAGAAAGAACCATTGAAATTTGTTGAAATGTTTCTTTATCATCAAAACAAGTATGTGTGCAAACTTTCAAGGCTGAAAAGAAGTGAGTCAAAAATTGTTTTCGGTATTTTACTCAGATAAATAAACAAACAAACAAAAAAAAAAAAAAAAAAAAGAACTACTTAAACTTGTGAAAGCCTTTGTTATAAAAACCATGAATTTTCTTCTTAAAAATGGCTGTCTGCCAGATTGAATTTTTACAAGCTGTATAATACAGATGATTAGTTACTTAGAATCTAGGCGCACTTAATTTCGAAGCCAATTTGATATTTGGAACACATAAAATTGTTTCCGCAAAATTTCATATAACTTTCCGATACTTTTCTAGAATCTAAATTACCTGCTCATGCAGGTAATTCTTTCAAAATTCATTTTTTTATTTCCTCACATTTTTCTACTTTTCCACCTTGACAGAAATAAATATGTTAATACTACCAGAACGAGAAGGCACATACGATAAATTTCAATAAAACTACCAGAAATTTCAGTAAAACTTCTACATTAAGTTGATCAATAACATTTTTGCATTTGAATGCGTAATGTTCCATTATGTTAATCTAACCAGTTATTATGATTTAGATCTTCACTGTCACTTCTTCTTTTTGTTTCCCTACCAGAACGCAAAATTAGGTTAAGAGTGTTTAAGCTGAAGTTTTTGGATTTTAAGACAGAGCCAGTTTCGGCCTCTCGAGGCCACTTTGCTAAGTGTCTGCTAGCTCTGATAAGATTATATTATTCAGCTTGCATTATTGTTGCCGACATTTTCTATTGGTAATTTTATGTCGATTTATCTTGTTTAGTTAATGACTTTTAAGTCTAATCCAGTCCTTCCTAACTCCTTCCTAAAATTCTATTAGCTTAATTATTCAATTCCTTCACTATTTTTGCAGGTAGATGGCTTTTTCATTCCCTTTAGAGTATAAATATGACTCTTGCGCCCTCTGCTTTCCAATCTTGCAGATTTCTTTGTTCCTGATGAAGAGGGACATGTACTTGCTTGCCTTCGAAATCGATTGATTTCTTGAATAATCTACCCCAAACAAAGGTTGCTGCCTTTTAATTTTGTGTTTCACTTTGGCGTGTTTCTCTTCAGTTTTGAAAAAGAACAAGACCTATGTGACAAAGTATTGAAAATCCTGCAACCTAATCTGGCCATAATTTCTTCCAGGCCAAATTCATGGTTCTATACTTCACTTGCTCCCAAGCTGTATTAATGAGATTAAGCAACAAAAATATTAAAATGATATTTTCAGAAGAAGTATCAATTATGTGGCATAGATTATTTCAAAACACCTTTGAAAATATAATGCTGCCAATTTGAGTGTTCCTAACTCTAGACATTGTTCGTCATCCAAGGCGAGTTTTATTCAGATAACTGTTTTGTGAAATGGAGCATTCGTGATACCAAGTTCTACTGTATCGTGAACTCTCATTTTTTTTCACTTTGTAGGGTTTCCCTTAGTTTGCATAGCAAATTATTTTAAGTTTGGTATCTGTTCTGAACCTCTCATTTTCCCTTTGCATTTCCTCCCCAGGATGAAAGTTAAAGTTAAGTGAAGAGAGTATAAAAACAGACGAAATTTGAAGAGTATTCATAGCGTGATTTCGCTAGCCAGCGTACGTTATTATTTTGTTCTTGCTGAACAAAATAAGTGCTGAGTTGCTGATACTCCTTTTGGCCATTTTAATAAGTCTATCGCCGGGTAGGTTGTTGAGTCAGCCTAGTTAGCCTTAAACTAAATTGTTAGTCAAGCACTACAACTCATCTTTGAAGTTATTGTTATACTATTCTCAAGTTCGCACCGGAGATAGTTGGTGTTATTGTAAGCAAGAAGTACATGCATTTGTGTTGTTTGTGTTGTGTTTGTTTGACGAATAATGTTTGTTTCACCCTTCTTCTGTACTAGTATTATTTACGCCCGTGCGAGAAGTCGCCAGGTTTCCGTAAAATATAATTAACTGTATGACAGCTAAGAAGGTTAAATCTTACATAACTTCAGTCTGTGTTTTAAGGATATGTTTCATATATGTGGAATTATTTAAAGGCTTCAGGAGTATCATTTATTCTATAAGGCTTATCCGCATAGAATTCGCGGTTTTGCTGCCAGTCTTGGGTCCTCGGCAATTAGTTTAAAGATTAATCTGTAAGTACTCTGTGCTAGAGAACATATAAAGCGCTATCAAGGGATGGAGGGAGAAGTAAAAAATGATATTTCCATTAAAAGTTACCCATATAATCAATAATTTTACGCTTATTTCATATGACTTAATTATTCAAGATGTAATCCTGCAAAAAACGGCTAAATCGCAGAATAGGCTGCATCAGTCGATGCTGTGTTTACTTCTCTTATGCTTGGACACGCCTTTTTATGACGTAATATTGGTTACGCCTCTTCTTAAAAACAAGTTATAAGTATGCTATAGCTTCGTATTTAAAGAAAACTTAAATTATATTTTAACTGAGTTGAAATGGTAGGTTTATAATGTTCTGCGCGAGATTTTTTAAATTATAAATCTACTTTTGTGTGTTGTGTGGTAGTGTTAGCATTTAATGCAACGAATTATCTCTCACAAATGTATTATTAAGATACCAAACGATCCTTAGCAAACGATTAAAAATATTGAATGCATGAATTAAAAATTATAACCGTAACTTCTGAAAATACAGAAAAGCATTCTTTTGCTTAAAGAATGTTTTGGTTATTGATGAGTGTGTCTAAATCGGTGCTTACTGCAGAATGGACGAGTATCTGAATCTGGATTTTTTTAATCAGTTGGAGCGAAGAGGCAAAAAGAGCGCGCGCTAGTGAGTGGTGTATGGAGAAAAGTTTGATTGCAATATCGTATAAGTGCCCAATTTGTGGAACAAATATGAAACTAGTAGAGAGACGGTTTTGAGACGTATAGACGATTTTGAGTGGTGCACAATGCCGAGTTTGTGCAATTCTGGGATGTTTTTTAAGTGAAAATAGATCGATGTGCACATGGGCAAAGCCAATGCGGTGCGCGATCCCGAGTTTGTGCAATTCTGGGATGATTTTTAAGTGAAAATAGATCGATGTGCACATGGGCAAAGCCAGTGTGGTGCGCAATGCCGAGGTTGTGCAATTCTGGGATGTTTTTTTTAAGTGAAAATAGATCGATGTGCACATGGTCAAAGTCAATGTGTTGCGCAATGCTGAGTTTGAGCAATTTTCTGATTTTTCTTTAAGTGAAAATAGATGGATGAACACATGGACACCGAGTTTGTGGAATTCTTTGATGTTTTTCGAGCGAATACTGATCGTTGTGTAGAAGAGAAAACGAGGTTGTGTGTGATGCCGAGCAGTAATGTAACTTTATTTATGTGCAATGTTTAACATATCGTTAGTGTATTTTAAATTTGTATTGTTGTTTTAATTGTGAATTATATTTAAGACGTCATTTTTCATTTAAATTGTATTTTTAATTTTTTGGCTTTGATATGTTTATAACGCTTTCCGGCTTACGACATATATCGATAGCCCGACGATCTACTCAATAGTAGCAAAATTGTTAACTTTAACTCTTGAAGTAACGTTTACCTCATATTTTAATACGTAGTGTTTGGTATCGTAATTGCACTTGATAATATGAGTTCATTGATAATATGTGTGCGCGTGCGTATGTGAAACATTGCTTAGTGTTCCAAGTTTGTAGTATTTATTTTATTATATTATTTTCTTTCATTCTGAGAAATTAGATTTTTTTTTATTTATTAATGCGTAGAATTCTAGCATGCCTACACAGAATATGGCGTGATTTAGGAATTTTAGAAACTGATATGAAAGCTGTGTAATGATGTTCATATGCAATAAAAATATTCTTCTTTTTTTATTAATGTAAAGTTTAAAATTTTTAGAAATAATGAAAATTGTCTAATTATTGGTATGTAAGGAATTATGTCGTTACGTAGCAAGAAGGTAATTTGTAAAAATGATAAAATTGAAACGCAATATAAATTTAAATTAAAAAAATATTTTATTTGTATAAATAAAAAAAATTAATTAAAAAAATAATAATAATTTAATAAAAATCTTTGAAAATAATGAAGCTCTACAAGTATTAGAGACTGCGACGTTGTTTATCGTTTTAATAATTGGTAGAATTCGCTCACTGTATCATGGTAATTTTAAATATAAACAATTTATTATACTTATTATCAGTAACGCCTAAGGTTAAATGTTATAAATGTAAATTAAAAGTAAAGAATTTGATATTAATTTACAATAATAAACAATTTATTATTGTTATTTTTAAGAGAATATAGAAAGTACACCTAGTGTAAATGCGAGACTGCATTGTGACGTCATAAGCTTAGTCCCATCCATTTATGGACGTCACGCAGCTCCTCCTACTGAACTTTGTTGATGCAGCCTATTCTGCGCTTTTACCAAAAACACATAAATCTAAAGGCATAAATCTAAACGCACGGAGAGAAGCATCGAATCGAAAGTTTAATTTTTGGCCAACGCACCAAATGAGCTATAATGGCGCGGCGCATCTTCGAAGTTCTACGATAATTCTTTTTACGACTAGCAGCATCTAAAATTTTACAAATAGTAGATTAGTGATAATTCTATTTTAAAAATACCCAATCTAGTTTAAAAACGAATTAATTCGAATATAACAAATTCTATAATCTAACCAAACATCTCACCAGCAGCATTCAAATTGCATCAAAGAAATTGAAAGTGTGTTCTATTGCACACTGTTGCCACTTTTTTTACATTAGCACGCTTCTGCTACCTTTCGCGTTGCCATTCAACAAGTAGAGAACCACTTATTGTTTTTTTACATTAGCACGCTTCTGCTACCTTTCGCGTTGCCATTCAACAAGTAGAGAAAAATGCCTATTCGTACCAGAACGATACTTGAAGGGAAAAAAGATCGTACTAATAAGAATTCATATGGGACACTGATGTAGTAATAGTTAAAACAAATTTCGTATACAAATTTTTTCTGATCTAAATTTAACTCAATATCCGAATTTTAAAGTATTATAATTATAAAAGATTTGAAATTGGTTCGACATGAAGTCCTGAAATTTTTTTCTTATGACTTACTATCAGTCTCAAAAAGTAGTGTTTACGAAGCTATTTGGATAACTACAGAATAGATCATAAAATAGGATGTGATATAATAATAAAAGGAAGAGTTCACCTGTGTGTATCTCAGAGCGTAGAAATGAAAATACCTAGATCTACGTTATTTATCTTAAGCATTGTCCAGGGCATTCCCATATTTAATGAGGTTTTTAAAATTAGATTTATATTTTTTTGTATATGTTTTTATATATCGAAAAAATATTTTACAGAATTTTCGTCCATAGCATTGCCTAACAACCCAAAATAAGTATCACAGAATTTCCCTCATTGCAACACTAGATAAACTAAAAACCGGTTTTTAGATAATTAAATTAAATAATTTTTGTGAAAGAATATTCTAAAAGAGGAAAGCATTACCTGGGTGATTTTCTAAAGTTTTCCTTTAATACATCATGTTACCATTTCTCAGCACCGACATTTCCGTTAGAAGTTTTCCTTCTTCGAATATCACGTGATCCCCTACCCTTTCCATTTTTCGATTATTTGTCTATCCAACGTCGGGGGTTTTAAAACTGTTTAACTTTTCAGATAATTTATTTTCCCCGCGAAAGCTTTGTAAAATTTTTAATATACATCCAAATTGCATTTTGTTTCTAGCCGAAAGGGGCTATTAGTTTCGAAATGGGATTTTGTGTCGAATCACTATAAATGTTTCATTTCACTTTTCATTCGAGTCTGTTGCCATTCGGCAAAATGCAAGATATTTGTCTTTCAAATTTAATCTATCTTTTGTTGACTAATAAATTGAGCTATTTTAGAGCAAATGATGCGGTTTTTATGAATATTTATTTCTTACTTTTGAATCAGATTTATTTAAATAATAAAAACGCATTTAATTCACAATCTATATTATTAAATATGTTCAGTATTTTTATAGAATGACGTTATGAAGTTTTAGTTGCCCAGAAGGACTATTAATTTCGTTTTGGCATTTTGCGTCGATTTACTACAAGCGTTGCAGACTTTACCTCTAGGCGCTGAAATGGCGAAGGAATAGAACCGCTATTTCTCAATTTGTTTCTTAATACTACATATTAAAAAAAATGAAGAAAAAATCATTCAGTTAATATCGTTTCATCATTCCTGTTTAAAAGATAACGAAGAGTTTGTTCTATAATCTGTGACAAGTTTCGTACTCGATGCGTTTTTAAATGTTGAAAATTTAAAATGAGAAACGTTAAACAGTTGAAAAAAATCGAGCGATTTTTGAAAATTCGTGGAAAAATTATAAATGTTGTTAAAATTTTGATACAAATTTCATTTAATTCCCCCCCTGTTTTATCCGAAGTTGAGAACATTAAATTCCTGAGGTTTTTAGGTTGCTCGTTAAACGAAAATATGTGAAAAATCAAAATCGAATTTTGAAAGAAACTACAAAGATGTCATCTGCAAACAGTGTATGTACAAACTCGACAGTAGGTTAAAAATACGAGTAAAAATAGGAGTAAAAATAGGTTAAAAATAATAGTAGGTATAGGAAATATGTTAAAAAACGGTGACAAACGTTTGACTTTGCGACAAGCATCTTAAGTAACTAAATAAAAGCTGATAACAAAGAGTTCGAGGAAAATTGAAGCTGAAAAAAACCATAACTTTTGACTAGTATAGCAGAATATTTTAGAGTGGATTTCCGTTTGCCAAAGCAAATAGTCACTCCTGTTAACAACGCCGTCAAATATTATTGATTACAGTATTTTCATTACGTAAAAGGATTAGTTTAGTATATAATATATTGGTACAGATATTACAGTTCCCTAATTATAAATCGATAACTTCAATGTATAAATTTCAGGTGTATTTAAATAGCTAAGAGACAAATTCTTTTGATAAGCCTATTACTGTAATAAAATGTTTCGTACAATAAGCCCTTTTATAAAACCCTCTGCTCAAACACTTTTTTTGATTTCCTTTCTGAAAAGCAAGTCATCTTTTTATATACAATAAAAAAGACACATAAGCTAAGCCTTTTTCTAAGACTTCTTCTCAAATACTTTTTCTATCTTTTCATATAAAATGAAAAAGACTCAGTTGAGCTCGGAATCTAAAAGGTAATTAGTATAAATTTGTTCCTATATGGTTATTTAGTGTCACATTTCTCAACTTGTTTACCTGGATGACCTCAGTAAGACGCTTTCTCTGAGAACTCGCAGATGCTTGTTGGGCAAAGAAAGATCGAACAGATGACCTGATTTTGCATTGTCGAATACCAAGTCTGGTGTCCAGATGTAGTTCGAAAGAACGACAGGAAACACAACGTTTCCCTCTTTGTTTCCAAGAAAAATACTCAGGTTCAGACGTTTGTCCTCCCATACTTCTGATAAATAGCTTTGAATGCTGAACTCCTGTAAATTTATTCAAGAACTGTAAAACTAATTTTATTAAGTCACGCCATTTTTAGATACTTTTAAATACACTGCTCCAAACAATTAGGGGATATTATGATTTTAGTTATAAACAACGGATGAGGAAATGTTTTGGTGACTGAAATATGATGTACAAGTCTTGTAAGATATGAGAAAAGAAAAGAAGTAATGAACAAGGAATAATTAAATTTTATTGATGATATTTGTCAGTAAATAAAAAATGTCAATTTGTGTATATTATACAAATAAACAACATAAGGGAAAACAAATATAAGGGATATGATTCCCCCTGACAGAAAGCAATGACGTACAACAAGGGATATTTCTACAAAAGACAGCTTTCGAACAGCTGAATTTTTTCTGGGAGAGGTGATAAGCGACTAGCAACCCTTCTCTCTAGAATGTCCCAAACATGTTCGCGAATTCATTTGAAGGATTCCTTCCTCGAAAAGGAAATTGTCCATTAGCTGAACATAATATGGCTTGACATCCATGAGTATGAATTCATCCCCGATTGCTGCAGCGTTAAAGGCTACAATAGGCCTGAGGATCCCATCTGTATATCGTTGAGCCATTAGTGTTCCATTTCTGATAATGTGTAGGTTGGTGCGGTCATTAACAGAAATACCGCCTCAGACTATTACTCCGCCTCCGCCAAATCGGAAACTTTCATGTAAAATTGCAAGACTGTTCCGCGTACAATGTTCTAACCAGATGAGAAACATCCTATTGTCAGGTTGTACACTTAAGCGGAACTCGTCTGTGAAGAGCACGGTGCTCCTGTCATCACTCCCCTATTTGAAAGGCTATTGTGCTCACCTTCTGCAAGAGTACGGTGGTCCTGTGTCTATGAAACATAACCCATAGGTCTGTGATCATACAAACTCACATGGTTAAGTCGGTTTCAAACAGTTTTTCCGTCAAAGCTCTGATACCAGTAGCTCTCTGAAGGTGCTGTTGAAAGAAAGTGGAGTTCGTAGTGTGGTCTCTTCTGGCAGTTAGTGTGAAATACCGAGCTTCTCTTTGTGTTGCTGCAGGGTGCAGGCATACCACCTTTTTTCAATGTTCGACGAGCATTTCCAATTTCTAAAAGCCAACTCCATAATCTAGAAATGAGAGTTTGAGATGCTCCTAATGTTCTGCTACGACGGATTGCGGTTGATCCGCCTTTAAGCGACCGATGGCTCCCAGGTTACCAATTCAGCTAAGTCATCTTGCTAAAACATCGTATTCACTGATAAAAAACATTCAATTTTACTCTCTTCCTATAGAAAGAATGCTGCAGGTCGCTTTGCACTCCTTATCTAGAACGCGTAGTTTTCAACGTCAGAGACAAAATTTTCATATTCCCAACTTTGTAAACATTATAATTTTTCTTTTTAGCCTCTTCTATTTCATTTTGTTAAAAAAGGTGTTAATTAAACTAGTTATTTCCTACAAAACTCCCAATATCCCCTAACTGTTTTGAGCAGTGTACTTTAGCATGTTAATTTAGATTCATAACTCAACGTTTTTTGTTAAGTAGTTAATAAATAGTAAAATAAAATAACTTATCCAAGATGCATATCATAAAATTATTGAAAAGACTCATTTCTGCTGGAGATAAAATTACTTTTTAGTTGTAAATTAATTATAATTTCTTAAATGTACTTGTACGATAATATTTCTTTCTTCCCACCCTGACATTCATATTATTGAGTTCTTAAGGGTTCGTAATAGATTGAATGCACACAGTTCCGATGATAGGTTAATAAAATTTATTTATCAAAAGAAACGCTTCAGAGCTGTGGAACTTTCCACAAAAATATTGGTACTGCTCTTCGTAGTATCACAGAGCAGAATCAGTAGTTACTCTTCAAACTACTAGGAATGTGAAACACAACAGAATGCAAAGCGCATCTGAAAGGAGAAGCTCCCCAAAAGTCGCTCTGAGCTAACAATTACAACAGTTACACAGAACTGATACTGTCTCCAATTTTATATAGTCTTAACCCGGTAGCCAAGATATATCTAGTACTTTCTGCTTCTCGAAATTGCTGGAAGGTATATGAGGCCCAGTTACAGTTAAAATTAATATAGTAATCAATTACAGTTATTCATTTACAATACTTAATTACAGTTATTCAGTTACAATAATTCTTTAACAAAATGTCTTTTGTGATGAGTTCAATGTAAGCATTTCTGTAACAAATTTTGCTGAGATAATTCCATAAATACATGTTTAATTATGTTCGCTGGCTTCTTTGAGCGTTCTTTGAACATAAACTATTCACTACCTCTTGGGGCTGACAGGGCAATGATTATGCATCAGTTGCTTTATATCTGAATGGCGGTGGAACATTTATGCATTGGCTCAGCAACAACAAATGACGTCTGTGTATTTTGCAGATTATTGACATTTGCTGTGAACTGCAATCTTATTGAAATTTTACAGCTTATCAATAATGGGGTTAGTTAATTGCCGCGATTTCTTTCAAGGCCCACAGTCGACATGCATCTCACAATGCGATCAATATATTAAAATTTGATTATTTACATTTCAAAATCATTATTTTTATTTCAAAACGTTACAGAAAATGTAGTTTCGTAATAATTTCTAACGCCTTTCTAGCTCTTTAAAAGGTAACTTTCTGGGATTTAAATGCTCACTTCCAGTTCTTCCCTTTTTTTTTAAATCTTTACCACCTTCTCTTCTAATCTTTTGTCTAGTTCTTAAGTACAGAAATAAATAAAAGTTTATTAAGCTACAAAATTTTCTTTATCAAACAAAGCATTAAAATAAAAAGTGATTTTTTACCCTAAAACTTGGCCATTTCTACATGTATGAAACTTCAGCATCGGATATTAAATATATAGCAAAGAAATCTAACGGATATTATATAAACTACTAACGGTTTCCTTTTACTGAAGAAAATATTTGGCAATGGAGAAGGAACTGACTTCTGGGTATCAGAGAAATATATTTGGCTGGGAAAGCTAAAAGAATACCAATTCCATTTGCAGCACCAATTTGTGCGAATCTGGGTTTGAGCAGTCATTGTGCTAAAAAAAGGAAATGGTAAACTAATATAAAATGGACCCTAAATGTAGTTGTGTACAGTCATAAAATTATTGAAATTGATTGAAAATAATATTGAAATATTGAAAATATTGAAATAAAACATTGAAATTTATTGAAATTAATTGAATTGATTTGAAAAAGATAGGCAAAATAATCAAATTCATTTATATAACTAACTCTGATTTATTTACACAATGATAAGATTTTTCAAATTTTATACTGATTGGATACTTTTACACGAGTCGTTTTGAATTTGAAATGATTGCTTCATTGATTTTTAACTTCATTAGTCTGACCGCACAATCTATGCACTACAACTGTTAAGAATGCATAGTTCTGGCTTTGGGCACCACTGAAATATTCTTATGTATGGAAGGCGTTCAGCTATTTTAGTCCCTAATTAAAAAAAATTGCTTGAGGAAAGAATTTCGTTTGCAAATAAGATATCAAATAAGATTCATATATACTGCATATTCATATCATTCAAATATCATTGCAAATAAGGTTCATAGACAGGTAAAAGTGTTTTTTGATCAGATTTCAAAATACGTACCATGAGACCTTCGTCTATCCTGTCAACATCCATAACGTGCATCTGAAAATAGACATGAGCTGCTTTTCCTGAAATGAAAGAAATTTCAAATTTCAATCATGAAATTAATTTCTTTGGAAAATAAATAGCACTTTAAATTTCCTACAAGCAGTAGTTTTAATAGTTGTTTACGTTCCTGTGTTAGAATGGCGCCGAACTAGATGATGTAGTTTCGATTTTAAATATCCTTAATAAATTCAACCACTCTCGGTCTATTTAAACCAAACTGAATACATTTAATAATAAAACATTATACGTAAACATTTAGTAATAATTCAGCAATACAGGTAAGCATTAAAATAAGATTTACAACCGTTACAGGTCAGCTACGCTTTTAGCGACCGAATTCTATGAACGATAAATCTCAAAAGCGTGTTGCCAACGCAGAGCAACGAAAAGGTGGAAATTAATTCGATAGGCGTGGAAGTAAACAGTAGTAATACTAAAGTTGTAGTTGTAATGTATAGTAATAGAAGTAGTTGCATTATTTCAGTCAAAGCATTTTTGGGTCAACGGTTGACTGAGAAGAAATGCTTTATTTCAATATAGAAGCAATGAAAATTAAGAACGGCACTCGTAAACATTCAATTGAAAATACTTGTGACTTTTGATGAATGTTTGCTTACTCTTAAGTACATCCCTTAGACAATATCAGACAAAATTCCCAAGATCTAGGCATTACTGCTAACGAGTTTTACGATAGCTAGAAATTTGCCTAATAGCTTATGCAGCAACTGAATTTAGTTATTGAAGATTTGGCAAAACCGCTATTATCAAAATAACTTTTAAAGCTATCCCTATTAAAATTGCAAGTTTTAAAATTAATTTAGTATTCTTAAATTAAGTTTTCACCTTATGTAAGGTATCAAATGAAAGAGTAAAATTATTACATTATCATTTAGCTTAAATTCTATGACAATACACAGCCATGGTATAGCATTATTTTGCTTGATATTCTTGCTAGTGCTGACCTGGTGATTATTTTCATTTTGCTTACGACTATTAATATAAAGATTATATGATTATCATTATTCTTAAAGGTATCAGGGATAACTTTACATTAATATTACAGTATTATAGCAGAGTTAATCACAAATTAAAACACATGGGATGGTAAGATAATTTACAGGCCTGATAAAATTTCTGGGACATGTTCGTGACAATGTACTTACTATCTTTTTACTTATTATTTCAACCTCTACAATATTAAAAAAATCTGATGTGTACACCACATGACTTCCTTGTACGGAATATTAAATTATACGTAATTTTCCTGCGTTTCATTTAAACATTTAAACATATTGAATTAATAATTAACGAATTTTGACTACTTCGTCGATAGCGCATAAACCGCAATAGAATAAATGCACTCTTTAATAATTCTTCTTTGGCGTATTTTTTATATATGTATTTACTATAGCGACACTTCTGCGCTACTTAACAACATTACATCTCATTCATTTTATAACTCAGAGGGCACAAAAATTATATCATCCGAAGAATTACCAGATGTTCTATTCAAACACTATAATAAATCTAAAACGATGTATAAAAGAAATTAAACAAATAAAAAAGAAACAGTTTTTTTAGTGATCTGTTCAGTCAGATTCAATCAGATATTTATAGAATGTATTTTAAGTTACCTTACATAATCTAAAAACCTTAAAAATAGATATTTCTGTAATTACAAAGAAGGTTCTTCCATATTTAATAAGATGAGTAACGGAATCGTGTTTTGTAGCGCAGATATTTGCCTTTGGAAAAATGGAGGTCATGTACAGCATTATTTATATACATGCACAAGCAAGAGAAGATAAATATAAGTTTGAGATAAATTTATACAAGCAAAATTCGGAGCAAAATAAACAAAGATTAAAATATGTTTTAATAAATAATTCTTCTTTTGCGTATTTTTATTATGACACATTTATTTCTATTCTGTGTATTTTTTTATTTTTATTCTGTGTATTTTTCTACGTATCTTTATGAGTTTATTTAACATTTCCAGTTAAAAAGTAAACTGCGTGATATCAGAAATATTTAAACCAAACTCCTCTGATTTTTCTACATCACGCTTCATAGCAGTATAATGCGCTGCCATGAGCACCCGTTTCAGTCATGCTACAGCCTTAATCGGAATGCCATTTTTCATCTTTTTCACAAGGAGAAACGTGATTATGAATGACTGCAGCAAGAATTAGGGGCCCTGCCATCCAACCCCCGGTACTCAGACCCTTATTCCCGTTTCTGTCCGTTCCATCAATCATTGCATTAGTATGCAAACTTCTGGTTCTAGAAATGGAGGGGAAGGATGATGCAAAAGGTTCCTTCTACGTACTCAGTTCAGCGGAACTACATAAGCTCAGTCATGTCTAGGAATATCTTGCCATTCAAGGTAACACGACACTGTACTATTATTTTTCAAGAATTCTTTACATAGAGTAGAACGATTCTGTGAATTGATTTCAACTTTTTGACGTATATGAACTGTTACCAAAATAATCTATAATAATAAAAGCAAGTGTAATGTGTCTGTCTGTCTGTCTGTCTGACCGAGCTCTCCAGCCAAATCTATCGCACGCAGGGACCTGGAATTTTTTATACGGAAGCACAAAGGGGCTGGCCACCAGACCTCGAAGCCCGATTTTCGATTTTTGAATTAGAAAAATTTAAAAAAAATTATTTATAATTAATTAATCACGGTTTTTTTGACTCACTGATATTATTATTTGTTTTCAAATAACGTTCGATTGTAACAATTGATTTCTTTATTCTAGCGTTAGTTTGCTGTTTTGACGATACATTAAATCGATTAATTACAATTCATTTCTTTTTTGTAGCTTATTATTTATATAATTAATATCACGGTTTTTTTTGACTCACTGATATTTATTATTTGTTTTCAAATAACGTTCGATTGTAACAATTGATTTCTTTATTCTAGCGTTAGTTTGCTGTTTTGATGATACATTAAATCGATTAATTACAATTCATTTCTTTTTGTAGCTTGTGGGGGGGGGGGGGGAGGGGGGAAAAGAGAGAGAGACAGTCTACATGTCCTACACTACTATTCCTGCGCTATTCACTTATCTGCATTTTCTAAATGCATGGGCAACGCCGGGCGGGTACAGCTAGTGTATAAATATATTGAAGCATGAATAACTGATCTGTTTTATTTATTTAATGCCTTTTATTTATTTTCGAACCCAATACCAGATTATCCATACCTTTCACAGTTGGCGCTTCATACTTGTTGTAATCAGGTGGGAAAACTCCGGAATACATTTTCCTGCAAAAAAAGATGAAACTCCATTATTGTAAGTTACAAGCCTGTTAAATTTTGAGCAGCAGTATATAATGCGCAGAGGCTAATGAATTTTCACATAGATATTGAGAATTTTGTTAATTTTTCAAAGTACTGCTAAACTTAGTTTAATAGAATCAACAAATAAGCTTCGTTTTTTCATCATATGAAAGGCGACTACGGAGAAATACTCTTTATATAATCAAGCTATTTTATTTGCTTCCCATATCACAGATGGTAACTAATAATAATCAACTGATGTGAATGTAATTCATGTCAGTTTTAATTATACCTTTAATTAATATATTACGTTTAAAATGAATTGTCAAATTTTCTATAATGAAATTTTACTTGTGCTTGGGCTTTGTGTGTGTGTTACTTATGCTTTTATTATTCTTTATAAACATTTATTAATTGTAATATATGTAAACATGTCAAAAATTATATAAGAGCCTAAGCCTGCAAATCACTAAGAGGGAAAGATTTCTTCACTTACAAATTTAAATAAAAGTAGTTAAATGATTTTGAAAATTACTGAATCGTCCTCTTAATTGAATTTGAAGTCAGGACATTGCACTTGAACTGGCTCATTTACATTTCGAAAATATATGGAAGGGATTCGGCTAGTCTGCTATTATCGGGACCTGATTCAGAAATGTATGTATGTCTGCATGCACTTGTGTATGGATGCAAGTATTCATACATACATGTAAAACAATATGTATAAACAAAATCAGTGGCGCAACAGCCCTAGTGGGCTAAGGCCTGCAGTGCCCGATATCTGCTTTCTTGACCGTGGGCCCGGGATGCACGAGCATATGCCTTGGACAAGTGGTCAGTTTGTCGCAGAACTCCCGGTGTTTAGTACCAAAGCGAACATGGTACTAATTTTATCGACCCACTCAAGGGATGGAGGGCTAAGTCGACCTTGCCAGATTGCCAGCCCGGGGGTCAAACCCTGGACCTGTGGCGTTGCTGGGCAACGCACTAGCCACTGTGCCACCGGACTTCCAAAACAATATGTGTACGTATTACATATTGTTATTACACATTGTATTACATATTGTTATTACACACGTATGCACATACACTGGTGTGAAAAAATTAAGGACGAAGTCGAAAAGTTAGCATATCAGCTGAACGAAGAGGCAGAGCGGACAGAAAGACCAATCAGGAGATTAAGTAAGGTGATGTACGGTAGCACATGCGCAGATATGCAGGTAGACGTAATGGGGGAGTGTCTGGGTAGTATAAAGCATGTTGTCGGTGTAAGATCAGTATTTCTGGCAAAGAGATTGCACGCCGTATAGCAGTTAAAATCACACCGAGTTGCTGCCTCAGCGAGAAATGGCGAATAATCAAACACTCAAAAACATTTGGAAATCGATTGAATATTTTTCCTTTCATGAAAATTATGAATTAAATCTATTTTTCATAGAAAATTAAAAGAAAAGATTTAAAACAAAAGAGAGATAAAAAAAACCATCCTCATTATATAAAATGAAATAAGAAATAATAAAAAAAGAAATTTAGAAAAGAAATGAGTTTTTGTATTCCATGCTTAATACATACTATTTAGTGGGTTAGGAAAATTTTCTCATAATAAAAAGACACATATCAATTTTTAAATAACCTCTTCCGTCAATATCTATCTTCTGTTTGCACAATGGGTTCAAAAAGAAGGAAAGAGTCTTTTAGTTGAGCTTTGAAACATTTTAATAAAAGCTAAAGCAAACCAATATTACCAAAAACATATTCAACATTAAAAGAATAATACACTCTGCAACATTTTCTGATCGCACTTTTCGAAATTTGATTCGTAATCACAGGCTAATAATAAGGGAAAAATACGTTTTATACATACACATTTTACTTATTTACACCTCAGCTTCGATTATGTTGTGTTTTCCTAAATGATACATGGTCGTTCGAAACTCTGAACATATTCGATCCACAACATTAGCATATGGTAAATAGAGGTCTATAGGATGGAAACGTGTAGTTCAGAATTGAAATAAAGCGCTTTGAATATCGAAGCAGCTTAAATCAATGAATAACTGCATTAGATTTTTTTAGAAAAGTTAGAAACATTTCTGATTTGTTTACTGTTATTCAAGTTATGCGTGCCAGCTCCAGATTACCTTAAATTGCTGCATTATTGCATTTGCAGAGGTAAACTTATCAGTTTTCACAAGATATCAATAACTGCAGGGAGAAAGAAATATTAGGGAAATTCGTATTAAAGCTCTGTAAAACAAAATTTCACTGCATCTGTATATGCTTCATAAATTAAAATTCTATTTCAATATTTATTAAAAAGTACTGTTAAAAGAAGCTGAGATTTTAAAAGCTGTTCTGAAAATTCATCTTATTAAAAAATCTTGGTGCTTTGGAAACTAAACCCAAAGCTTGGTGTTAAGCAAATTATACACCTTTTTTTGGTGCCCTTCATTTAAACTTTTATTTGCTCGAATTTCGTTAGAGATATATTTCTCGTTTAATCAAATCAGTTCTCTCTTAGCGGCAAAGCAAAAACACATAAAACCTCAAAATATCTTCATAAAATCTGTAAAATACAGAAAAGCCTAAAATACCAAATACAGTTAAAAAACCAATTTTTCTCAACAAAAATGGAGGTGTACGACTAGATGTTATCGTTTTATTATGCAAGGTATACATACGACATAGGTACAGATGTCATGAAAAAAATCCCTTCTGAATCAATTTTAAATTTATATTACAATCTGTTTTGGAAAAAGGATTCCTTTATTCCGTTCATGCGAATATATGTCACGCAAAGAAAACATTCAAATGGATACGAGAACGGTCAAAATGCATATTTTGAAATTATTTTATTATTTGTCAAAATTCATATTTGAAATTTAATACCCGATATTTTTCGCGATTACAATATCCTTTCCTTCGTATAAAAATGTTCAAAAAACTACATCGATTTGATCGTGCAGCTCTGAAAATATGCAAAGTCATCTAATCTCACAGAATTTTTTTAAAAAAAAGTTCCTCTTCTTCCTACACACAGAGCAACAAACTAAGTTAATTTCAAATAGCTACTCTATTAGTACGAAGGAAATGAACGAGGCAATTTAATTTAACCTTGAAGAAGAAGAGGAATTATCAGGAACATCACGGAGTAAAAAAAAAAAAAAAAAAAAAAAAAAAAAAAAAAAAATGGTTGTCAAAAAAAGTGGTTGCATATAATTACCGTGCTATTCATGCCTTTGGGACAACGTAGCAAAAAGTGTCTGAAGGATTTTTAAAAAGTGTTCGAGAAAAAATCGGGAAGAGAATAAAACGTAATTAAACAACTTTCGATTGACAGAGGGGAAAATAGGTCATCTCACTGTCACTGAACATAATGCGGGTATTTTCCTGGATTCCTTAGCTGCGTCGCAAGTGCATGCCTTGCTCCCTTTAAGAAGTACTGCACAAGGTACCCCTCTCGTTAAGAACTTAGTCTTCAAATACTTTGCAATAATCATTTACAAGTAAATGCTTAAAATTATCCACTTCTTAGAGTTAATGAAATATATGTATTTACAGCTTCATCAGTCTCATTTTCGGAATGAAAAGGACGGCGAAGTAAATTGTTTTAGATTAGAAAATACTCAAAAGTCACGTCAAACAAGAACGAGAGAATGGGGCGGATGATCTACCACTCTGATATGCTTTTGTTAAAGCAATTCGACTGTTAGTCTTGAGGAAGCATGACTGTTCTCTAGCCCTCTATGACTTTAATTTCTGTACTTCTGAAGAAAACGGAGTACATTACTTTTCTCATTGTTCCTTGTCTTTTCACCACCATTGTTTGTTAGGAAAGCCATCTTGAAAGACTCATACTTTAGTTTCTTGATGTGTTGGGCCTCGAAAAAACGGTAGAATGTTTCATAACCAGTAATGATTTTAGAAATAATGCGGTTCATCATTATGTAATTTTATTCTTTACTGATTCTGTCATGCTCCGCGTCTTGATGTCCTGTTAATTTACAGGGGACAAACTGATTTTTTTATATGAATAGTTTTAAATATGGCTTCATCCGATTCTAAGTTTCTTCTGTATTATTTAGTAGGTACAGCGATTGTCACTGATTAACATCTTTGAGTAACATTTTTCGTAAGGCCGACACATTTTCTGGGACTACAGAAGAGAATTTTCCTATATGATCTTCGTCCAGAACAGAATTTCGGCCTGTACGAAATTTTATAAATCATCCGAATACAATAGTACGAGATGGAGCTTCATTTTTATCTTCTAATGGTGGACGTTGAAGGCATTCATTTTGATTTAGTCCCACTTTAAAATCATAGAAATTCAAAGTGCGATAAAGCTGTCATGTTAGTTTCATTCTCTTTTCTTCCAAATTTTATTCTACGATAGACAAATTGCAATTATTGTCCCAAATTATTGTCTACGGATGTAAATGAATTCAAATTTACATATCTAAGGAATGATTGTTTTGATTGCGTATTGTCGGCCCGTCTCGAAAATTTCATCATAAGTTATGATTTTAGATGTTACTTACCTATCAAATTATTGCTCATGAAACAGTTTGTGGCAGTTTTGCATTAACATGTTTTCTATCTGATTGCCTATGAAGTAGACGTCCTGATTTACTTTGTTACAAAATAATCCTCCTATAGAAACTTCACGAAGAGAAGTTTTAAGGATTCGTAAAATGTCTTGCGAAAAGCCTCCTTGGCAAACATAAATCAGGGGACTGTTGTGTATTGATCAGAACATACTTTTTAATTAACATACCCTCCAATTTCATTAACTTTAGATGCGATACGAGCATAAAGGCTCATTACCTAGATTCACTTGGATCGCTTTTCATAAAACTTAATAATTTCATCAGGGCTTTAAAATTATTTAAGACAGCTATCAAGGAAATCCAGGTACCTATATGATGGCAGGTTCCTATCAATAAGTATAATATAAAGAAGTTATTATGCGACTAACATTTGAT